GTGTGTGAGTGGGGTGATGACTGAGTCCTCAGGTGTGTGTGAGTGGGGTGATTACCAAGTCCTCAGGTGTGTGTGAGTGGGGTGATTACCAGGTCCTCAGGTGTGTGAGTGGGGTGATTACCAGGTCCTCAGGTGTGTGTGAGTGGGGTGAATACCAGGTCCTCAGGTGTGTGTGAGTGGGGTGATTACCAGGTCCTCAGGTGTGTGTGAGTGGGGTGATTACCAGGTCCTCAGGAGTGTGTGAGTGGGGTGACTTTTCTGGGTCCTCAGGTGTGTGTGAGTGGGGTGATTACCAGGTCCTCAGGTGTGTGTGAGTGGGGTGATTACCAAGTCCTCAGGTGTGTGTGAGTGGGGTGATTACCAAGTCCTCAGGTGTGTGTGATTGGGGTGATTACCAAGTCCTCAGGTGTGTGTGAGTGGGGTGATTACCAGGTACTCAGGTGTGTGTGAGTGGGGTGATTACCAGGTCCTCAGGTGTGTGTGAGTGGGGTGATTACCAGGTCCTCAGGTGTGTGTGAGTGGGGTGACTTTTCTGGGTCCTCAGGTGTGGGAGTAGTGACTCTCCTGTGTCCTCAGGTGACCAAGACCTCAGATGTAAAAGTGAGGTCACTCACGTAAGTCCTGGGATCTGTCAGTTGAATAAGATGACTGAGTCCTGGGACCCAAACCTGTGGTGGCTCTCAGGAGCCCTGCCTCAGATGTGTAATTGGGGTAACCAGCCTGACTTCTCAGGTTTTCCTCATGCAGCAGGGTGGTGGTCTCTTAACCATCATTTGGCTACTGTCTTCCTCTGCCATTTTCAGAAACTGAAACCAAGTCAGTTGCAGCAGTGTCCCAGGTTTGGAAGTGTGTCAGTGCCAGGGCTCCTGGTGGAGACAAGATCGGTGTCCCGAGTATCGTGACCTGGCAGGCGTGGAGCCGCAGCAGCGTTCAGCTCTCGGCGTTCAAGTTTCGCTGACTTCTTGAAGCGGAGCTTTGCTCCTCCTCTTCAGGAGCCACGCCGCCTGGCCCTGGGTTGTGGAGGTGCAGCTTGTCGGCTGACTTAGTGTGTGGACCGTCACTCACTGACGGAGTCACTCAGCCACCTGCAGGGATTGTGAGGATTAGAATAGTAGGCGTTGGAAATACCCATGGCTGTCAAGTAACACGATCAGCCAGACACCATGAAATTCTGGTGTGGAGCTGTGACGGAATTTTTTTTACCCAAAGAGCAAACTGGGATTCAGAATCCTACAATGCTTTTCTCCCAGTCTGGCCTATTTCTGCCTCATCCAGCACCCAGAGACCCAGATTGCACCCTTGCTCTCCACACCCAGATCATCTCAGCGCTGTGTTTAGTTTTCAGAGTGAAGACTGTTGTCTGTCTCCTTTAGTGAGTTGAAGTCACCTTGAGGCTGTCACCATTACAATGGTCTTGTATTCTTCAGCAGCCAGAGCAGTAGTTTCAAAGAGTGGCCCATGCCGTTCCTTGTGTCACCTTCCTGGGACCCTCACTGAAGCTAAAGGACAAAGGTCATTTCCACTCACAGTCTTAGAGGTTCACGGTGCAAGACCGGGAGGTCTCCTGGGTCTGGCGTCTGAGAGCATGGTAGGTGATGCACCAAGTGCAGGGGAGGCTCACAGGAGAGCCCGTATGCGTGCTCGTCCCCTGTGGCTGTGTGGTCTCTGCTTTCAGAGCCCCCTGACTCACTCCTGGGCCCACACGCACAATCCAGCCCAATTTAATCACTTCCCAAGACCCCACATTCCGACACCCAAACACTCCGGCTGTGCCGAGCTTCTGCTCTTGGTCTCCCTGGTAACTTGTTTCCTGGAAGCAGCTCCAGGCCTCTTCCTTCTTCCTGAGCTTCCAGTCTTCCCTTGCCTTTACTTGCAGAGCTCTTGCTCTCCTTGTGCGCAGGGGCTCTTCCCGTCCCTGAGGTTTTCACCAAGAGAGCACCTTCCTTGCCCGCTCTGTGCACACAGCCTCCTGGCCCTCCACCGTGCCCTGCACTCACCTGCCGCGTTTGCTTCAGTCTCTGATAGGCACAGGCCCTCCCTTGCATTTTCTCACCTATTGTTAGTCTTTGCCCAGCTCTTGTGAGCATCCCAGAGGCAGGGGCTACATATGCTGTTTCTGCTGTGTTCATCAGATGTCCAGAATGCTTCCTGGGAAGTGTTTGATGAGTGAATATCAGCAGACACTGGAGCTCATTAATTCATTCAACTATGCTAGCTATGAAGGCGTCAGAGAGCAGCACTCAGGGAAGGAGGTGTTTGTCAGCTGTTCAGGTGCCCGAGTCTCTGATTGGAATTTCTGGATCTACTCCCAATTCTAGCTTCCTGCCAGGGAACACCTTGGGAGGCACCAGATGATAGCTCAAGTCCTTAGACTCCTGCCACCCACATGGGAGACCTAGATTGAGTTCCAAGCTTCCAGCCTAGCCAAGTCCCAACCACTGCTGGCATTTGGAGAGTGAACTGGCAGATGAGAGCTCTCGTGTGCGCGCGCTCGCTCTCGCTCTCACTCTCTCCTTCTGCGTCTTGAAGGTTTTAATGATGGAGGCATGCATTCCTGTGCATGTGTGAGTCTGTACTTTGCCTGGTCTGGTGTGGCTCATCTGTGGGTTTTATCAGTCCTCCAGAAGTGATGTCAGTCGATTCTTCACCAACAGCAGAGCCCACACCACGGGAAGAGTTGCCTCCTCGGCGTGTTATTGGCTGCCTGATCCTCTGGAGGAGGCGTTGAGGGGTGTCCTTCTCGGCACTAGCGGATGCTTGCCATGGCTCTTTGCATTTCTCGTTGCCTGGCCGAGGATTTATGCTGGACTTGTTAAACAGAGTCAGACACCTCTCCATGCCACGCAGGGTGCTCCTCTCTCTACTGCCAGCTCCTCACACACATGTATTGCTCCCTGCAAGACGAAGCCACGTTCAGCTGCATTTTTTCCCTTGTCTTGGAAATGTAAGCTGAAGGGACTTCCCAGAGTTTCCCTGTCAGTTTGTCTTGTCCTATCCAGCAGCTCCCAGAAGGGATTAGAATTTCCTTGGTGAATTTAATTGATATTCGTTCTACAAAGAAACTCTTACCCATGTTTCTTAATCCCTTTTAAGATATCATGAATTATTTTTGTAAGTATAAGCAAGCATTTTGTTCCCATTTTGCAAAATCTGTATGTCGTTATGCACATTGTGGAGTTACTCCATCTCAGTAAGTTGTTTATCAATTAAATCTCTGCTGAAGTTCTTCGGGAAACAAGCACACTTTAAAAAGCCTTGGCATTGGCTAATCTGAATACAGCACAGCTATGTGAGGCCCTGAGTTAGGTGCTTTTGTATCACTACCTTGCTTGGTTCATATGTGTACTGCTTTTTTCTGATACACATGAGCACAAGGAACAAAACAGATTCCCAGTGTCCCATCTCTCAGAGATGCCACTGTTAGTAGTTTGGAAGCCAGTTTTGTCTTTTATCTACAGGTGTAGTGCCTGTGTACCTTCTTAAATTAAATTTAATCATGCTGTCAGTGTTTTGATGTTAATAAGATTAGCAATTTAGTGTGCAGATTTCTTACATCCATATTTCACAGAGTATAGTGGGATTACTGCATTCCATAGACTAGAGAAACTGCTACTTATTTATCCATATTTGGTTGGAAAAGTAGGTTCTTTCCAAAATTTCACTCCAAAAATAATGCGTGCTATTCTCGGCTTTTTGGCTAAGATCAAGTGTAAAAAAAGGCGTACTGCAGCAGTGGTTGCAACCCTGTCAGATGATGTCCTGGTGGGTACGTTCTGAATGGGGGGTTGTGAGGCCCACATTCTGCGCATGTGAACACTGCAGGCGTATCATCAGATTGTCTCTGAACACATGTACCAGCTCACACACCCGCCACAAAGTGCGTGGTGAGGTTGGGTCTCTGGATTCTTGTCTCTTTTTGTCAGTCAGTTTTATGGGTTTAGAGGTGGATGATTGGCAGATAGGTGAGTGGAGCTCTGTGTCTTTGTCCTTCGTGTCATGTGAGGTCTCCCCCTTCACGATTTCTAGGTGCACACTGCAGTCGTGTTAAGTGGATTCACAGTGTTGTACAGTATGTTGTACAGATCTGCAGTATGTGTTGTTCTTGTGTAGTGGAGACACGAAACCCACTGAACAGCAGCTCTGTTTCTCTCTACTCAGCCCCTGCAACAGCCGTTCTCTCCTTTTTCTACAAGTTTGATGATTTCATACACCTTATACAAGGGCAGTCTGTCACGTATCTGTTGGCATTTTTTTCCTTTGTGAATTTCTTATTAATGTCCTTTGGCCCCTTTATTTATTTGGGCTGTTAGTGTTTTTGTTCTTGATTTTTGATGATTTATTTGTGTTTTTAGGGTCTCTTTTAGATGAGAGAAAATTGTCATCAGGTTCAGACTCCCCTAGGAGCCCTTGCCTTAACCGTAGGCTGGCAGCCAGTTACACCTGCCCGCCCATGGCTCTGGGGCTCATGAAGTGAGCAGTGGGAAAACCAGCAGTGACCTCACTTGTAGACCTTTTCTGGCTTTATAGAAACTAGACAAGAAAGGCAGTATTAGCCTCCCTTCACAGAGAAATTTGTCTTTCGGCCTGGCTTATTTTACTTAGCATAATGATCTCCAGTTCCATCCATTTTGCTGCAAATGTCAGGGTTTTATTCTGTTTATGCTGAGTAATATATACGACATTTTCTTCATCCAGTCATCAGTTGGTGGCTGTCGTTGCTGTTGTGTGTTGGGCTGTTACAGACATGAGGGTACAGAACTATTTCATGTTCTGGTTCTACTTCCTGTAGCTGTTTTCTCACAGGTGGGAGGGCTGGGTCCTGTGGCAGATAGATTTCTGGTTTTTGAGGAGTCTCCATACTGTTATCATAATGGTTGTATTTGGTATTCCCAGCAACAGTGTTGTAGGATGATGTTTTCTCCATAACCTCACCAGCCTTTGTTGATTTTTGATTTTGGGTAATAGCCCTTCTAAATGGGATAAATTAATCACTGCAGTGTAGTTTCTGTTTGTATTTTCTTGATCCCTAGTGGTCCTGGACATTTTAAAAAATAATTATTTAAGGTATACAGGTTTCATGTATTTAATGTATACAGATTTAGGAACATAGTGTTACTTCCCACTGTACCCTCCCTCCCAGCCACGATACCACCCTTCCTCCTCCTTCCTCTCCAATTCCCTCTCTTAATTTTTACAATGGTCTACTTTCAGTTGAATTTATACTCATAAACTTAACTGTACACTAAGTCAATAGTTCAACAAATAGTAAGGAGGAAAAAAACACTGTTCCTCAAAAGTATAGACAAGGGCTATGAACAATCGTTGAATCTCAAAATGTCAATTTCACTCTTAGGCATTACATTTTGGTATTTTATTGGTTACCACAAATCAGGAGAAATGTGATATTTGCATTTGGGGAACTGTATTATTTCATAAGTGTAATGGTTTCCAGTTGCATGCATTTTGTAGCAGAAGACAGGATTTCATTCTTTTTCTTGGTGGAGTCGTATTCCATAGTATATATATATGATCCTGAGCATCTTTTCTTATTTATCTGTTTGCCAGTCGTATTTATTCCTTGGAAGAGAGTCTCTTCGTATCCTTTTACTAGTTCTTACCTGGGTTGTTTTGTGGTTGTTGAGTTTCTTGAGTTCCTTGTATATTCCGGATATTAATCCTTTTACTTCCTGCATTTTTTATGTGTATTTTCTCCCATTCTGTAACTTGTCTCTTCACTTGGTTTATTGATTCTTCTGTAATCCCATTTCACTGTTTTTTTGCCTCTGTTGTCTGCTTTGGGGGTCTTATACATCATCAGTGTTTCCCCTATGCGTTCTTCTAGGAGCTTGATAGTTACAGGTCTTAAGTTTAAATCCTTAATCCATTTTGAGTTGATTTTTATGTAAAGTGTAAGGTAGGGGTCTTGTTTCAATCCTATGCATGTAGAAATTCAATTTTCCTGACATTGTTTGAAGAGACTGTCATTTCTCCAGGAAATGTAGATCCATGGATTTACTTGTAGGGATTTGGTACCATTCCATTCATCCGTATGTCTGTTTTTATGCCACTACCATGCTGTTTTGGTTATAACTGCCCTGTGATATGCTTTGAAATCTGGTATTGTGATGCCACCTTCTTTGTTTTTATTACGATTGCTTTGATTATTGAGGTTTTCTGTTTTCCATATGAATTTCAGTGTCTTTTCTAGTTCTGTGAAGAATGTCCTTGGAATTTTTAAAAAAGATTTTATTTTTTCTATTTGAGGGGCAGAGTTAGAGACGGAGAGTGAGAGTGACAGAGAGAAAAGTCTTCCATCTGTATTTCAGTCCCACAGTGGTTGCAATGACTGGAGCTGAGCTGAACTGAAGCCAGGAGCTTCTTCTGGGTCTCCCACACGGGTGCAGGGGCCCAAGGACTTGGGCCATCTTCCACTGCTCTACCAGGCCATAGCAGAGAGCTAGATCAGAAGAGGAGCAGCTGGGACAGGAATTATCACCCAAACAAGATGCCTGCACTGCAGGCGGATGATTAGCTCACTCTACCACAGTGTTGGCCCTGTCCTTGGAATTTTGATGGGTATTTCATTGAATCTGTAATTGCTTTGAGTGGTATTGGCATTTTAACATATTAATTATTCCAACCCATGAACATGGAAGTTTTTCCCATTTATTTTTGTCTTCTCTTCTTTCATTATTTTTTTTTTTAATTTTCATTCTGGAGATCTTTTAAATCCTTAGTTAAATTTATCCATGATATTTAATTTTTTTTACCTATTGAGAATGGGGTTGTTCTTATAAATTGTTTATCAACCACATTGTTGTTATTTTATGAAACTGCTGTTGATTTTTGTGTGTTGATTTTTTATCCTGCATCTCTACCAAATTATCTTACAGTTCTGCTTTCTTTTTTTTTTTTAAGATTTATTTTATTGACTTCAAAGAGTTACACAGAGAGAGAAGGAGAGGCAGAGGTGGGGGGTCTTCTATCTGCTGGTTCACTCCCCAAATGGCTGCCATGGCCAGAGCTGCACTGATCCAAGCCAGGAGCCAGGAGCTTCCTCCTGGTCTTCCCATGCAGGTGCAGGGGCCCAAGGACTTGGTCCATCTTCTACTGCTTTCCCAGGCCATAGCAGAGAGCTGGATCAGAAGTGGAGCAGCCGGAACTTGAACCGGTGCCCATATGGGGTGCCGGCACTGCAGGCACCGGCTTTACCCACTATGCCACAGTGCCAGCCCCATTTCTACTGCTTTCTTAGTGGAATCTTTTGGTTCCCCTATATGAGCTTATCATCTGCAAATGGGGATAATTTGACTTCCTCTTTTCCAATTTTTTTTAAGATTTATTTATTTATTTGAAAGAGTTACACAGAAAGAGGAGAGACAGAGAGAGAGAGAGAGAAGTGAGAGAGAGAGGTGTTCCATCTGCTGGTTCACTCCTCAGTTGGTCACACCAGCCAGAGCTGCACGGATCCAAAGCCAGGAGTCAGGTGCTTCTTCCAGGTCTCCCACACGGGTGCAGAGGCCCAAGGACTTGGGCAGTCTTCTACTGCTTTCCTAGGCCATAGCTGAGAGCTGGATCGGAAGTGGAATAACTGGGACTGGAAGCGTCACTCATAAGGGATGCTGGCACTGCAGGTAGCGGCTTTACCCGCTACGCCACAGCAGGGCCCCCCTCCTTTCCAGTTTGTAACCCTTGGTTTCTTTTTCCTGCCTATGGCTCTTGCTAACACTTCCAGAATTACCTTGAACAGTAGTGGTGAGAGTAAGCATCCTGGTCTGAATCCAGCCCATATTAGAAATGCTTCTAGCTTTTCTCTGTTCAGAATGATGCTTGCTATGGACTTGTCAAGTATTTCCTTTACTGTGTGAAGTTAAGTATGTTCCTTCTATACTAAACTATTTTTTTAAATTATGAAATGTCATGTTTTATCAAATACTTTCTCTGCATCTGTTGACAAAATCACATTGTTTTTTACCCTTCATTTCTGCTGATGTGATCTATGATGTTAATGGTGTGTGGTGAACCATCCCTGCATCCTTGGATAAATCCCACTTGGCAGGATGAATGATGTTTCTGATACCTTGTTTAATTTGAATTCGCTAGTGTTTTTTGAGGATTTCTACGTGAGGGATATTTGCGTGTATTTCTCAGTTTTCATTGTATATTTTGTTTTGGAATTAAGACAATGCTGGTCCTACAGAATGAGTTTGAAATGGTTCACTCCCTTTCAGTTGTTTTGGGTAGTTCCGGAAGAACTGGTGCTTGGTAGAACTCAGAGGACAGCCTCTGGTCCTGGCATTTGGTTCTGGGAGGCTCTGTACTGCTGGCTGGCTCAGTCGGGATGATTCTTAATTCAAGTTTTCTGTGTCTTCCTGAGTAAATTCTGGTAGATTATTCGTGTTGAGAAATCTAACCTTTTCCTCTACTTCTTCTAGTTGTTGCATGTAGTTATTTGTAATAGTTCCTAATGATTCATTGTATTTCTGTGATATCAGTTATAATATCTCCTTTGTCATCAATGATTTTATTTATTTGAGCCTTCTCTCTGTTTTCCTGGTTAGTTGGGCTAATGGTTTATCAATTTTGTTAATTTTTTTAAACAGCTTTTCATTTCATTGATCTTTTGGTTTTTTAAATTTCTGTTTTGTTTATTCTTTAACTTTTATTTCCTTCCTTCTACTAGTTTGGGGTTTGGTTTGTTGTTGGTGTACTAGGCCTGTGAGATGCATTGCTTGATTATTTATTTGTTATGTTTCCACTTTTTATATATGCACTTAGTGCCATCAATTTTCCTCTTAGCACCACTTTAACTGTATCACATAAGTTTTGATATGTTGTGTGTTCATTTTCATTTGTTTTGAGGAATTTTTAAATTTCCCTTTTGACTTCTTCGATAACCCACCATTCATTCGGGAGCATGCCATTCAGTCTCCATGTATTTGTATATTTTTTATTGTTGTTAATTTCCAACTTAATTCCATTGTGGTCAGAAAAGACACATGATATTATTCCAGTTGTTTTCTTAAATTTTATTTAAGGTATATAAATTTCATGTATTTCCTATATACACCTTCAGGAACATAAAAAAATTCTTGAAACTGATTTTATAGCCTAGTATATGGTCTGTTCTAGAAAATATTACATGAACTGATAAAAACAATGTGCATTCTGCTGGAGGTGGAATGTTCTGTAGATGTCTGTTAGGTCCATTTGATCAGTACTGTATCTAAGCTCTGTTATTCCTTTGTTGATTTTTTTGTCTGGTTGATTTTTTTGTCTGATTGATCTGTCCATCATTGAAAGTGGAGCGCTGAATTCCCCCAGACCTATTGCGTTGGGGTTTGTGTCTCCCTTTATAGCCTTTAATATTTGTTTTATAAAGCTGGGTGCCCTAGAATTACTTGCAAATATATTAACCGTAGACACATCTTCTTTGTGTCTTTTGAGCAGTTTTTGTGTTGAAGTCTGTTCTGTCTGGTATGGGGGTAGCTACTCTGGATTGCTCATGCTTTCTATTTGCGTGGGTATCTTTCTCCATTATCTCATTTTTAGCCTGTTTGTCTTTACTGGGGAAGTGTGTCTCTTATACGTAGCATTTACATTTAGGTGGGTCTTTTTTTTTTTAATCTGCTCAGCCAATCTATATTTGTTAATCAGGGTTTTAGTCTGTTTACACTGAAGGTTATTATTAATAAATAATAACCTGGACCTGTTATTTTCCCATAAAAATCCCTGTTGTTTATTTTAAATAACCTTTTGTTTCTTTACTAGTAGGCTTTCTACATTGATATTCTTTCTCTGTTTGTGTAGTACATCTTGAAGTATCATGTTTTTTAAGAATAATTTTATTTATTTGAAAGGCAGAGTTACAGAGAGAAGTAGAGCCAGAGGTCTTCCATTCTGGTGGTTCACTCCTCAAAGGACTGCAATGGCCAGAGCGGAGCTGATCCGAAGCCAGGAGCCAGGCGCTTCTTCCAGGTCTCCCACGCGGGTGCAGGGGCCCAAGGACTTGGGCCATCTTCCACTGCTTCCCCAGGCTACAGCAGAGAGCTGGATTGGAAGAGGAGCACCAGGACTCAAACTGGCACCCATATGGGATGCCTGCAGTGCAGGCTGGGGCTTTAACCCACTGTACCACAGCAATGGCCCCTTGAAGTATCATTTGTAAGACTGACCAGGTGGTGACATATTCTTTGAACTTTTTGCTAGTTTTGGAAGGTCTTTATTTGATTTTTAGTTATGAATGAGAGCCACAATGAATAAATATTCTGAGTTTGTGGTTTTTCTTTTCCTTTAGCAATTATTTGTATTTCTCACTTTCTTCCTCCTCTAGGATTTTGTTAAGAAATCCGCTGTCAAGGCAGTGGGTGTCCTTTAAAAGTGAACTGCAACTTTTCTTCTGCAAATCATAGGATATTCTCCTTAAGTCTTACTTTTGAAATTGTGACTATACTGTGTTGTGGACCGGGTCTTTTCGGATCATGCTTATTTGGAGTTCCCCTGCATTTCCTATATTTGGGTATCCATCTTTCTCTAAATTGGGAAATCCTTCTGCTATTATTTCACTGAATAGATTTCTAAGCTACTCTTTTTCTCCACACCTTCAGGAATTCCCCAGGGCTCATATGTTGGATCCTGTAATGGTATTGCAGAAATAACTGGCTCTGTTGGCATTGTTTTGTTTGTTTGTTTGTTTGTTTGTCATTTTTCAAAATATGCGTCTTCTAGATCGTACATCCTTTCTTCTTCTGACTTATCTAGTCTGTTGTTGAGACTTTCCACTTTTTTTATTTGACTTAGTAGGTTCTTAATTTCTAATATTTCTGTTTGGTTCTTTTTTGGTATTTGTATCTCTGCTGAATTTCTCATCCGTTTAGTTTAACTGTTTGTCTACATTCTCCTGTTATCTCTTTGGGTAGCCTTGCGATAATTCTTCTGAGTTACTTCTCCGGCACCTCCTTAGCCTCCCTTTCTTCACAGTCTGGTATACCGTGTCACTGTATCCTTCTGTGGAGTCTGTTGACTTGCTCATTCATGTTTCTTTTATTTCTGTGATGCTTTTGCACACAGAAAGATCACTTGTTTCTAGTGCTCCTAGAGGAGGGTTCTGTGGAGTGAAGGCTTCTCCCTGGGTACGTGCTCTTGGACAATGTTTGGTAGAGTGTAGTGTAATCTCCGTGTACCTTTATTTGCTGCAGTCGGTGGTACCCATTGTAAGGATTTGGGCTGTTCCGATGGCTGCGTGTGGTCACTGAGATCCCTGTTGCGAAGGCCACCAGCCTTCTCTCTCTGGAGGGACTGGGGTGATGAGCTTCCCAGCTGCTGGGAGCATGCCTGGTTGGTGCTGGTGCTGTGGGTGTGCCAGTATCCATGCCAGCAGCCAGATCTCCAGGAGCCATATGGACTAGAGACTCCTAGCCAGTGCCCAGATCCGTAGCTCGAAGTGTCACATTGATGCTGGGTGGAGGAGGCAGGTCCCACGGCAGGTGAGAGGGTGGCTGGGTCTGTGAGAATGGCTTTGGCTGTGTGATAGCAGGGCAGTCATGGTCACTCTCTGTGAGCTTCCTGCCTGATTGGGTTGGGTGCAGAAACCCTGGGCCTGAGCAAAAGTGAGCAGCAGCATGTAAAATCTGGAAGCTTCCAAGCGAGGCTTTAAGAGCCCCGTGCTGGGTCTGAGTGAAACACAGAAATTCTGGCCCAGAGAAACCACTAAGCACTAGCACTGTGCTGTGTTAGGTCTGGCACAGGGAGCCCAGTTCAAATCCCATTGAGCAAAGTCTTGCCTCTCTAGGTGAGACACATAAGGCATAGGCCACAGAACCGAGGGCATGTGCTGGATGGGGCCCGAGAGCCCTGGCCACTGTTCATGGGAGTAACAGCACCTCTGGCTGCCATCAGTAGGGTGCTGCCAGCTGGGGTGGTGTTTTGTCCCCCACCCTTCCCTATGCTGGTGGGAGCAGGCAGTTTACTGTTGAGAGTGTGCACTGTCCACCCCTACTGTGAGCTGTGTGCCTGGGTAGGAGGACTGAATGTGGACAGGAGCCCTAAGTCCCTGTGGGCACTGGTTGTGGCTGCAGCCTGCAGTGTTTCCAGTGGTTGGGGGAGGGGAGGAGGCAGAGAGGACGATGATTACCATTTCTGACTGGGCAGGACGCCTGCTTCCAGAATCCCAGGGGCTGGCTATCCCAGCCGCCCTGCTTCCACCATCTGTGAGGTGCAAAGTCCTGTGTGGGCTTGCGTGCCGATGGCATGCCAGGTCGCCATTGCTGTTGGGCCCACAAGGCTTATGGGGCTTAGTCTGGGCCCCCAGGAAGAAGCAAGGGCCCCCGTGCTTTGGGGCTGGGTGGTGTCTGGGGAGGGCCCCTGTGCTGTGGGGCTGGGTGGTGTGTGGATGGCCCTGTGCTGTGAGGCTGGGTGGTGTGTGGGAGGACCCTGTGCTGTGAGGCTGGGTGGTGTGTGGAGGACCCTGTGCTGTGGGGCTGGGTGGTGTGTGGGCGGGCCCTGTGCTGTGGGGCTGGGTGGTGTGTGGAGGACCCTGTGCTGTGAGGCTGGGTGGTGTGTGGAGGGCCCTGTGCTGTGGGCTGGGTGGTGTGTGGGAGGTCCCTGTGCTGTGGGCTGGGTGGTGTGTGGGAGGACCCTGTGCTGTGGGGCTGGGTGGTATCTGGGGAGGCCCCTGTGCCGTGGGGCTGGGTGGTGTGTGGGAGGACCCTGTGCTGTGGGGCTGGGTGGTATCTGGGGAGGACCCTGTGCTGTGGGCTGGGTGGTGTGTGGGAGGACCCTGTGCTGTGGGGCTGGGTGGTGTGTGGGAGGACCCTGTGCTGTGGGACTGGGTGGTGTGTGGGAGGACCCTGTGCTATGGGGCTGGGTGGTGTGTGGGAGGTCCCTGTGCTGTGGGCTGGGTGGTGTGTGGAGGACCCTGTGCTGTGGTCTGGGTGGTATCTGGGGAGGGTCCCTGTGCCGTGGGGCTGATTTATGCCTTAGGAGACTCCCCTGCGCTCCCCTGCCCACCCTTTCTCCTGCAGCAGAGCACCCTGGGTGTGGGAACTCTGTCTGCTCTATTCTGCTGTCTGCTCTCCTCTCCATGCCTGTATGCTTGTGCGCTGCCCACTGGTCTCCGCTGCTGGTGTCAGGTGTCTTCCTGGGCACTGCCCTCTGCGTGTGGCTGCCTTGGGTTTTTCCAGTGGCAGAAGAGAATTCGGATACTGAGCTTCTCTGTGTACTCTCTTGAATTTCCCCAACTTCCTGTTTGGTTCTGTTTTGTAACAATTGGGCACTGACAGACGTTTTGATCCCTGTAGTGACGCCCCCCCTCAAGCCCTCCTGTGGGATGGACGTTGTTGCTGGTGCTGGGCGTAAAGACTGATTCAGGTCAGCATCCTTCGTTCTGCCCAAACCCAGGTAATCTTGAGTTAAATTTGATTGAAGTTGCCAGTTAATCTTACTGCTGACTTTTGAAGTGCAGAGTGGTAACAGACACGCTGAGGAGAAGAACTAGCTTGGGCTGACAGGGAGCTGGAGCCCCCTTTGCAGTGTTCCGCGTCCTCACGTTGAACACTTGAACACGGGTGAGGGGATTTGGCGGCTTTGTGTCTGTCAGGAAAAGAGGCGCAGAAGAGAGAGGAGGCAGTATACGAATCTATAGCCAGACCAAATGTATTCAGAGAAAATAACTTTCTAGAGATGGGTGACCAACTGTTGGTGTGCACATTGGTGGGACACGTGGCAGGGCCTTTTTATATCTTGGGAGGGCTAGGGATGAGGGTGGGGGAGGGAGCGGCATCCAGGTGAATTCCTGAAACTGATGGGGGCGGGGCACCCAGATCCTGGAGAAGATCGCAGGGGTGGGGGTGTAAAGGCAGTAGGGTGTGAGACCCAATGGAGACTCCAGAGCAAGGGGTGCTTTCTGATGTTTACCTGTCTTGGGCAATGCATGAGAATGGCCAAGGCGTAAGTCTTTGTTCTGTCCCTGTCTCTCCTGAGCTGGTGGCCTTGGAGACACTGAGGCCTGGCCACGTGGCTGCTGGTTTCCACTGGTGGAAGGTTTGTGCCCCTGCTCAGCTGCTTCTGCTTACAGACGTGGCTCTGAGAGTTTTGGATGAGAGCTCTTATTGGAGAATATTTGGCCCCATCAAGCAAGTGGGGTTCTCCCCAGCCGTGCTGCCCTTAGCATCCTCATTGCCCTGTTAGCACCCCAGCGCTGCTGGACTCCAAGGACATGGGGCCTGAAAGAATTCAGTCTAAACAGGAAAGCATGCCTTAGTATTATTGTAGAGGTGCTGCTTGCTGTTTATTTCTATTTTTACGTTTAGTTGAAAGGGAAAGAAAGAGAGAGGCAGAGGCAGAAATCGTCCATCTTCTGCTTCAATCCCCAAATGCCCACAGCAGCCAAGACTGGACCAAGCTGAAGCCAGGAGTCTACTGGCTTTAGACCCAGCTACTTGAGCCATCACCTGATGCTGTGTAGGGTGCACACCAGCAGGAAGCTGGAGTTGGAAGCAGAGCCAGGCAGGAGCCCAGGCACTCTGATGCAGGATGGGGGCATCCCAAAGGGTGTCCTGTCTGCTGCGCCCTGCTCCCCAGGGTTGCAGCTTTCTGATGTGTTACGGCAAATTTGCTTACTTTGTTCCTCTGCTGTTTCTGAAGGAATAGCATGTGAACTATAAGATACAAAGCAAAATACAATCTGGAAGATCATCCAGTCTAATAGTGCTTGTTGCTATGCAACCACATTCCCAAAATAGCACCGGAAGCAGTATGGTATCAGCGAAGACATGGGAACTGTGGCGTGGAGATACTGATCTCACATGCACTGATTTTACAATTGCTGAATTGTTAATGCGCTTACTTACCATGCCCAGGAAATGTTAAGAACTGGAAGCTTCTGGAAATTGAGGAAGGCAGGATAATTCTTTGTGAAGATGCACAGATGAGTGTTCACATCCTGACTCTTTTATTTGGGGACTGAGTGACAAAGGGTAAACTGTTCATCCCGTCAGCCTCAGTCGCATCATCCTTGCATTTGGGATAATAGCACCTGCCTGTGGGGTTGTAATGACCAAGACTCAGTGGCTAGGGTTTCACGGCAGCATCCAATACATTTTAAATGAGATGGTGATTGTGTTGCTGGTTTAAAAGATCTTAAAGCATGTTATTTAACACTGTCATATTTGTGAAGCAATCTACAAGTATTTATTGGGTATTAAGGTTGAGTGATAAATGATAGACATATGAGCATGTCTTGCCCCCAGTGACTTCACAGTTTCATTGGGAAGTGGCTGTACAGTAGAGAAAAGGTAGCAGCCAGGTGTCTGCTGAGGCCCTGGGTGGAGGTAAAACGTTGGTGTATGTGAAGACGGGAGGCAGGCCTTGGGTGTTTTGCAGAATGAGGAAGGGCTGGGTAGCCTGAGGTAAGGATATGGGGGGCCTAACCATGGCATGAGTGTGGGTGTTAGTGTGGGCATCGTGGCATGCAATTGATGCGTTTTACATAGAGAGGAACCGTGATCTCCTTTGTGTGCAGAAGACTTTGTTAAGAACTGGGGAGAGAGAGGGAGCCCAGATGAGAGACCCAGGGATGGACAGAAGCCAGCGCATGGTTTATGCTTGCACAGATGAAGGGCAGCGCAGGAGAGCAGCAGGCACATCTCTAGGCTGAACTGCTGAGTAATGGTGAGCGTGAGGATCATGTCCCTGTCAGGATTCGCAAGGAAAGGGAACTGGCAGAGAGGGACGTGAGGCGTCCTGCAGACTGCGGCAGGCTGCTTCTGTGTGGATGGTTCGTGTGTGTGCCGGTGGGCTCACGGCGCTTCCTGTCTGTGTCAGTATTCAGTTCTGTTTGCTGTGTGTGCCTAGCCCTGCCAGGGTGACAGGTGCAGCAGGCTGAGTAGACTGGAGCAGGTAGCTGCCCCGTGCTTGCAGTGGGCTGGACCGAAATCTGATGGGGTGTACTGCACAGTGTACCAGGATTTTGGAGACTCCATATGAGGAAAGGGGGTTTAGAATATCTCAGTAATGCTTATACTGATATATGTTGCAATGACAATGTATTATGCTGGGTTGAAATAGCGCATTGTTAAGATTATTGTTGTCATTTTCGTGGGGCTGTTAGAAAACTTAAATTGCAAATATGGCAGACTGATGTTGCTTCTGGACAGTGCTGAGGTGGGTGTCCCTGAGGCCAGCTCACCAAGAGTGAGCGTGCATCATGCCCGTCCTCCTGTCTTCAGGATGAGCAGCTCAGAGTGTGGGGAGAAGTCCTTGCAGGGAGTGCTTCCAGAGCCCTGCAGCAGGGCCCTAGGGGTGGCTGGGGCTGCCTCTCACACAGAGCAGAGCCCCTAAGCACCCCAGAACGTGGGCCTTGGCGGACAGCCCACAGCTCTGCAGACGGCTCCTTTTATTTCTTGTGTTTCCTGCGGGACTCAGTTGTTCTCCTTAAGGTTTGTTCAGGGGGTTTTGTTGTACAGTTTCCCTCCTTGACTCTTCCCACTAGAGTGTGCTCTGTATTTTACTGTTGTCAGCCAAGCAGCTTCTCATGCTAATCATCACAGCCAGTGGTCATGTATGGAGAACTTCTGTGTAATCTGTGTGCATCTCAGGGTCTTCTAAGGGATACTCACCTCCAGTTCTGACTGCGGTCTGATGGCGGTGTTAACCCCCCAGTGCTGTCTGTGGTCTGATGGCAGTGTTAACCCCCCAGTGCTGTCTGTGGTCTGATGGCAGTGTTAACCCCCCAGTGCTGCCTGTGGTCTGATGGTGGTGTTACCCCCCAGTGCTGGCTGTGGTCTGATGGTGGTGTTACCCCCCAGTGCTGGCTGTGGTCTGATGGTGGTGTTACCCCCCAGTGCTAGCTGTGGTCTGATGGTGGTGTTACCCCCCTGTGCTGGCTGTGGTGATGGTTTTGTTATCCGCCAGTGCTATTGTGGTCTGATGGTGTTGGTATCTCTTGCTGGTGACTGTTGTGTATTTGTTTGTGTTTGTAGATGCTGGAAGGACATTGCAGTGGTTCTTTTTTTTTAAAAGAAAGATTTTTTATTTATTTATTTGAGAAGTAGAGTTACAATCAGTGAGAGGGAGAGACAGATAGATTTTCCTTCCATTGGTTCACTCCCCAAATGGCCTCAATGGCTGGAGTTATGCCAATCTGAAGCCAGGAGCCAGGTGCTTCTTCCTGGTCTCCTATGCCGGTGCAGAGGCCCAAGCACTTTGGCCATCTTCTGCTTTCCCAGGCTTCAGCAGAGAGTTGGATTGGAGGAGGATTATACGAGTCTAGAACCGGCACTCGTATGGGATGCCGGCGCTGCGTGTGGAGGATTAACTGACTGTGCTGTGGTGCTGGCCCCTAAAGTCGTTCTGTAGATTGACTATTATAGATTAC